GGCGCGCGTGAGTTCAAGGCCAATCAATGCGCGTCATTGCATTGATTAGCTGCAGGCGACAGAGGGCACCTCCCGGAGTTAAGTAATCCCAACAGTGGACGTGGACTGATGGAATTTGTCTGAAGCCACAACTAGCAGCTGGCGCTTAGCAGAGCCCTTTGTCAGCTTTTTTCTCACAGTAAAAGACTTGTCCAACCTGCTCTGTCGTCCCTGACTTATTATTTTGAAAACCTTCCCTTTGTCGACAAAAAACTTCGACACTATCACAGCTAATGTACAAACGCGCAATTCATCGTCTCGCGCGCATCACTTTACCGGCAACACGGTGGACACCGTCATTGCTCGTCCGTGCTCTACTCTGCTCTGCGGGTAACCTTTTAAATTATATTTTTACATTTACTTTTGCTTTTAAAATATACGGGCACGCACAGAAACGTACATTTCACCCACTTTGAAGAAGGATGCAGGTGCCATCTTCGGAAAAATAGACGCCCTAGTTTGCTGGAGCTAACGCCCCAAAATGGATGAATTTGTCACGGACTCGCTATCTAACTGTTTCTGAATTCTACAAAACTTTCAATTGTACAATTGACATGTCGTATTGGCAAATAATTGTTTTCGCTTATTCATCTTCATGCCAATACAATGACGTCCAGTTATGTGCAGTGTTTCTGAATTTTAATCTGGCAGAAGTGAGTGCATGATGTTGTTGGGGTCGCGTGCAAATGATATCTGTAGCGAGGAAAGCCTGTTACTACTACTACTACTACTGCTACTACTACTACTACTACTATCACTATTACCACGACTACTATTACTGATACTACTGCCACTACTACAAATAGTACTACTACCAGTGTTGTTATTACTAATACTACTTCTATTATTACCATTACTTCTACTAATATTACTATGATTCCCATTATTACTACTAATAATATTATTATTACTACTACTGCTACTTTTACCACTACTTCTATCATTACTAATACTAGTATTACCATTATCTCTACTACTATTATGATTACTGTTACTGATATTATTACTAATGCTACCACTACTTCTATTACTACTAATATTAATAGCAACACTTTTACCATTATTAATACTATTGTCGCTACTTCTACGACTCATTTAAACTTCATTATGTGATATTCTTAAGGCAGATATCAAGTCGTATTAAGACAACAATGGCCACCTAGGCCAGTTTTCTCGCTCACACAACAGTAAAACTCATACTTTGAGTTTGCAAGTTTTATTCGATTCATATGCACAAAAGAAGTGGAACGGTTTCGTTGCGCCAGATAGACACACAACTACTTCTGTCCCAGCTTACGACGCTTCCGGCAATGTCCTTAAAGTGTGCTTACTTCCCTACAGAATTTTAAAAAATTCCCTATTTATGCTATATGAACTATGGGCTTCTGTTCTTACTTCTCACTTCGCTTTGAATTTTCGGGTGTTGATGTGACACCATCACAATGATATTCAAGGAGGGTCGAGGCAGCTCCTTTCCTTTGAGATTTCTTCCGAGTCCTCCAGATAGATCGAAAGTCGCTCGGAATTGATACGTCGATATGGTACAAAGGTGAGAAACTTAGGTCCCTATTTCTACAGCAAGAAGCATCGTTTTTAAGGCGGGAGCTGTGCAGTAGTCATTTAACACCCAGTTAGTATTCTTCACCCTCCTCTTCGCCCTCGGCTTCCACGGTGTCGGCACCAACTTCCTCATAATCCTTCTCAAGGGCGGCAATATCCTCTCGTGCTTCGGAGAATTCACCCTCCTCCATTCCCTCGCCGACGTACCAGTGGACGAAACATCGTTTGGCATACATCAAATCAAACTTATGATCTAGTCGAGCCCAGGCTTCGGCGATGGCTGTCGTGTTGCTGATCATGCAGAGTGCTCGCTGTACTTTCGCTAAGTCGCCACCGGGTACAACGGTGGGCGGTTGGTAGTTGATGCCGACCTTGAAGCCGGTTGGACACCAGTCAACGAACTGGATGGTCCGCTTAGATTTGATTGTGGCGATGGATGCATTCACGTCCTTAGGCGTGACGTCGCCTCTGTAGAGCATGCAACAAGCCATATATTTGCCATGTCGTGGATCGCACTTGACCATCTGATTGGCGGGCTCGAAGCAGGCGTTTGTGAGTTCGGAGATGGTCAGCTGTTCATGGTAGGCCTTTTCTGCGGATACTGTGGGCGCGTAGGTAGAGAGCGGAAAGTGGATGCGGGGGTAGGGCACGAGGTTGGTTTGAAATTCAATGAGATCGACATTGAGAGCGCCATCGAAGCGTAGTGAGGCGGTGATGGAGCTGACGATCTGGGCGATGAGTCGATTGAGATTTGTGTACGTTGGCCGCTCGATATCCAAGTTTCGTCTAAAGTTCAAATAGACTGAAGGTAATCGCGTGAGCGAAATGCAGCTCAGGGACTTATTTGCGCAGATGCCTGATGCATTTATGCGCAGACGGGAGAAAACTATAATAAGGGCAATTCTGAAGAATGTGTGTGCTTTATTCTCAAAAACAAGACTACTTAACTTTTGTGAATACTATTATAATAGTGGTAATTATGGGAAC